CAAAATGGACTAACCTTTTTGCATCATTTTTTTCACTTTGATTTTCGGGGTGTCTTTGAATTCAGTCCTTTGTAGGTTGATAATTTTCATTTCCATCAAACGATGGGACATCCTTACATTCCTAACACATTACCCACTCCATATCAGTGTAGATATCCAGCATGAGATTTTTCCCCATTGAGATCTGATGTGTTTTCAAAGTGTTCCTTTAATTTTTTTGAGCAGTGTAGTGGCAGTTGAATTTTGCTGCTGCTAAAAGAGAGTGATGCTGGAATTGGTGCACAGATATCCTGGGAGGATCTGAGTTTGTGAAACATGCTGTGATAGCTTTATTCATTACAGCTCATTGACTTATAAGTGTTCACTTTGTTAAAGGTGGTGACACTTGGTGATTTCCATGCAAAAGTGGATCTTCTGGATTGGTGGAAGATCTCTTCATTTGAATGATTTTGGACTCTTATTTATTACAGACTTTATTTTTGGCACATTTCACTGAACACGGTTTAAAATATGTTTATGCTACATTTGTTTGGAATTATTAGAATTTTTTGCCATTATTTTTTTTTACATTATTTTATTTTATTAACTTTTGTAGGTCTAGGGTGTGACGTTGTCTCCGCTGATGTGAATCAGTTCTACCATCTCAGCTACACTGTATATGAAAAAGAACCATTCCCTCAAATCGAGTGCAAAGGTGGATTTCCAGTGTATTTGGATCACCGTGTTAGCTGTATTCGAAAGATGAATAAGAGAGTGCTATGTGCTGCATGTTCTATTTGATTTTATCTCAGCCATTGCTCTGCAGAGACGGAGACCACAACCCCAGATATTAACTGAGAGGGAAAATATGCAAATCATCCTATACAACGGTCATGGAAATAACTGAAACCACAAAACTTGTTAAACTCTATTAAAAAAAATGTCTTTCAGGTACAGTATAATTTCCCAAATTGTACCCCCACTGAAAACGCAGTACGGTCTTCCTTTTAACAAAATTCAAGTGACACTGTAAGCGTCGTTCACTTTTAAAAACAACAAATCTGTGTGCTCCTATACACGTCTATGTCATATGTGTTCCATGCTCCAAACACTCCGTCAACGGTTGGTCCATCGGTGACCTGAAGAAAGAGAATGGGTCAGGAATATATACATAAAAGCCCCGATATATTTATATACACATATATGTGTGTTTAGATTTCTTTCCCTTCTGCATTGTAAATACGCAGAAAGAAAGAAAACATGAAAGAAAGCGAGAAGAAGTAAAAAAAAAATAAAGCCAAGAAGAAAGGAATAGAAGACCTACAAAAGGCAAAAGGAGAGTCTAGCATAGAAGTGAGCCCCTTGTACAGACAGGCTGACGCCAGATGGCTTCTCTTAATAAATATTCAACCTTAACTCTGTTCCCACGTAACTTTGTTGTACGCTTGCCAGCACACCCACACAGAGCCAGCCCAGCGCAATGATTACAGTAGTACAAACAAAAAATCGTGCTATAGAGGAAACAGGCAGACAAGGTCCAGTATAGAGAGAGACAAGCAGCGAAAAGATGTGAGATTGCAATGCTTAGATTTAATGCTGACAACCTGAAATGATGAGTCGCCAAGCGCCTTAAAAAGAAAAATAATGACAGGCTGTTATTTTTTCGCTAACGATAAGAACCTTTCCTTATTATTTATTTTATTCAGAGGGAGACAGGATTTATCTACAAAGGCTTCTGCTTTATAGCTGGACATTCAGCTTTCAAAGGTAGCTATTGAGTGGAATTTTTGTCATTTGTATGTCGGCGAGGCACAAGCTACAAGAAAGTTCCTTGCTGCGCCGGACTGAAAGGCAACTGTAATACGTTTATCATAAATTGTCCGTTTTTTTTTTTTTTTTTTCTGATAATTTCCGGCAATGTTTTATCGGGTTGTATTGCACAGATGTGGAGGATTCTTGGTAAAGGAGAGAAACAAGATGAGTGTAATATCTGGCCATATTTAAAGTGGAACGCAACTGTGTCTAAGCACCACAAATGGAAAAGTTCTTTAATTTATTTTTAATATTTGAAAGAAACTATCCATCCATCCACGTCTCCATGCTTTATTTTACTGAAATCACATTAAAACACCCCCCCCCCCCCCCAACCCCACCCCCACTCCAGAATTTCTAGCCTCGGCCTTTTTAGAGTGAGGGCAGATGATTCATTTAGCATTTACTTATTTATTTATTTCAGGTACTTATATAGTACTGTCAATTTACGCATTTTACATATATATATATATATATATATATATATATATATATATTGTACATTCACATCAGTCCCTAACCCTCAAGGGGTGTTCAATCTAAGGTCCCTAACTTACACTCATACATACACTTACTAGGGCCAATTTAGACAGGAGCCAATTAACCTACCAGCATGTCTTTTGGAGTGTGGGTGGAAACCAGAATACCCAGAGGAAACCCACGCAGGCACAGGGAGAACATGCAAACTCCAGGCAGGTTGTGCCGTGGGTGGGATTTGAACCAACGACCCTAGTACAGCCAGGCAGAAGTGCTAACCATTTAGTTACTGTGCTGCCCTATTTACTTTCTGTAATCCATCTACCCTTAGCTCAGGAATGCAGGCATGGAGGTATGCTAACCTGAAAACTCATACTCCAGATGAAAGATAACAATGCCCATGAAGAACACTGGGATGTATGACACCCTATTGGCCTAGGCCAGTAACCAGGGAGCAACTGAATAAATGTTAAAAAAAAAAGGTTTACATGTCAGTATAATATACCTTCCTATCTTTTTACTAATACTAGCAGCATAAGGATTAAAAATAACTAAAACTGAATTCCAGGCATTCTATAAGTCAATTCCAAGGAGCTGCATGACATTTCCTGGGCTTATCTCTACTATTTAAATTTCATGGGTTTATTGCTCTGCTGGAGATACACTATGGGGATCTAAGAGGAAAGAAACCCACAGAGGAGCTATGCCCAGCTCTTCCCTCTGCTTCCCATTCACAGAAGCCTTTGTATTTTGTGAATGTATTGCATAGCAACTGCAGCAACTCTCCTGTTCAAGATGCAGAGCTCAGAAGGATCAGTGATCGCTGTCTTCCAGGAGCACTATAAAGCTGTCAGATATAACAAATAGAGCTAAGCCCAGGATGTGACATGCACCTTGCTGGACTTAATGTTATATTAAAGTGGTTGTAAAAGCTCAAGGTTTCTTCTATGCATGAAGGTAAAAAAATCTTCTCTGTGCAGAAGCCCCCCCCAGCCCCCCTAATACTCACTTAAGCCACTCTTGATCCAGCGATGTGCACTGGAGTCTCAGCTATCCTGGGACTTCCTCTCCTCATTGAAGTGGGAGCCTTTGGCAGCCAGTGAGCCAATGAGAAGAGTAGGGCAGGGACAAGCCACGGCTCCTTGTGTGAATGGACAAATGGAGCAGCAGGTGCCCCCATAGCAAGCTGCTTGCTGTGGGGGCACCTGACAAGAGGGAGGGACCAGGAGCTGGCAGGGGACCCGAGAAGAGGAGGATCCAGGCTGCTCTGTGCAAAACTACTGCACACAGCAGGCAAGTATAACATGTTTGTTATTTAAACAAAAAATAATAAGCCTTTAGAATCACTTTAAAGGTTCGTGTTTTTTCTTACCTGCTCTGGGCTATGGTTTTGCATAGAGCAGCCCCATTCCCCCTCTTCTTGGGTCGCCTGTCAGCTCTCTATGCCCCTCGATCCTGCCTAGTGCCCCTATAGCAAGTAGCTTGCTATGGGGGCACCTGAGCAGGCTTGCTGAGCCGCTGCTCTGTGTCCATTCACACACAGAGTGCAGCTTAGCCCTGCCCCCACTCTTTCCACATTGGCTCACTGGCTGTTTTTGATAGTAGAGGGAGGCAATGAATGCCGGTGCTGTCTCAACCAATGAGGAGGGAGAAACCCAGGAGAGCCGAAGTACATCACTGGATTAAGATGGGGCTCAGGTAAATTGGGGGGTGGGGCTGGGCTGGGGTGCTTCTGCACACAGAAGGTTTTTTTTACCTTCTTGCATAGAATGCATGATGGTAAAAATCCTTGAGCCTTTACAATCACTTTAACTCATAGTGTGCCTTATTTTTTTTACAAAGGAGCTGAATTCCTGGAATTCAGCTTTAATGTTGAATGAGAGAGGTTAGTTCTGTTGTAAAGTTGTCCTTTTGGTAACTTTACAAGGCTGCATGAATAAATTCCTGACACATTACAATATAGAGCATCAGCAAAATATTTCCAGTGAAACTGTAAAAAAACTGTAGCTGCTGACTTTTAAAATAACAGCCACTTACCTGTCCCTCAATCCCGTGGTTTCCTCCCCGCAGCCCGTTTCACCTGCCGTCCGGTGTTCACAGCGCCAGCATCTTCAGTGTAGGCACCCGGCTGTGACAGCTTGCAGCTTCATAGCCGGGTGCCCACTGCGCATGCGCGAGTAGCACTGAACTTTCTGTCTGAATGGTCTTGTATTCTTCTGGGACCTGTCACATGTCTCAGAAGACTACGGGGAGGGAGGGGGGAGGACAACTTCCGCTTCTGATCACCTAGGTGATCGCAACGAAAGTGGGAGTGGGTACTGTCAATTTCGGGTACCCGCTCCCGAAAAGGTTCCAATCTTTAGCGGGAGTGGAGGACCAGTCCTTAAAGCGGAACTTCCCCATTTGGCTTTGCCTAGGATGCCTAAATGATGTCATCAATCTGCTGCAGGCAAGAGGGGGCACCTCATCAGTCCTGTCTTCCTAAGCAATCCGACTGCAAAATAGAAACTTTGTAGCTAGTCACAAGTTCATAGATTGCAGCAGAGGCTGATCTGTGTTAGACATTTTAGGACACAACCAATAACTGTGCAGGCACCAGGATTTAAATGATTGTGTCATCTCTGAGCCAGCTCTCAATCTAGGAAGCAGATGTTGACCCTGGGTGATGCAGAACAAAAATGACTCAATCTTTCTGGCAAAGAAATGAGATGAAGACTTTGCAAGGGGAGTACTGTGAAGTACTGGAAATCTTGTATTCACACATTACTTAGGATGCAGGCATTTTACATGAAAACAGATCATCACCAGGGGCAGACTGACCATTTGGAAACTTGGGCACTGCCCGAGGGCCCAGGGTCAGTAGGGGGCCCCATGAGATGCCCCTGGTACCTTTTTCATAGGTTTTTTTGAGTTTGGGTAAGGACACAGGGGCCCCATGATCCCCTATTGCCCGGGGGCCCCATGAGTTGTCAGTCCGCCCCTGATCATAACCCATGACTATTTGGAATGATACATTTACTGAAGAATTGTAAGGATGCCAATACTAACTGCTCCTTCTAAGAAATGCTAATTGCCTGGCTGTCTTGCTGAATTGGAAACTGCACTGATTCACAACAAGTTTGATAAACAAGGTTTCTGACTTTGGTTTAACCAAGACGTGAGGAAATGTCAAATCCCAGAGTTTAGGGAGGGGGGCCTAGCTGGCAAATACTACTAGAAAAACAGGTGCACTACAGAGCAAGCCACCAGTTCACAGAGTATTCCCCCGGATTTACTGCAGCTTGTCAATGTCTCAATCAATTGCACAACCCTATTGTCCTCTGACTACAACCACAAATCTGTGTTGCCATACAGCTCTGCACACCTTATAGAATATACTGGAAAAAGCAAGAAGATACCAACACTCCGCTAGTGTTCTTATTTAAAGCAGTTGTAAGGTTAAACTTTTGTTTTTCCTAGAATTAAAAAGATGTTATACCTACCTGCTCTGTGCAAGCATATTGCACGGAGCCACCCAGAACCTCCTCTTCTGGGGTTCCCCACTGGCATTCTTGGCTCCTCTTCTTTTCAGTGTGCCATCATAGCAAGCTGTTTCCTATGGTAGCATGTGTGTAGGTCCACTACCGAGCGTCCATTGACACACACAGCGCAGCTCGGTCCCGCCCCCGCTCTCTGCTTACTGGATGTGACTGACAGCAGCAGGAGCTAATTGTTATTGTTGCTTTCAGCCAGGAGAAGGGAAGATGCAGGAATACTGGCCAGGGATGTGGAGATCAGTGAAGTAGAGACAAGGTAGCTATACAGGACAGGGAAGGGTAGAGAAATACTCACCCAAGAGTGAGTATTTACTGGTTGAGTGATATTTTATATTGTTTCCTTTAGTAAAGGAGCATCACCATGCTAATCAGGCCAGGAATTGAAGGACCTGTTGAAACGAGGGAATCATTTCACTGCATTTCTAGTGATCCTGTCGCTGGTAAGCTCTTACCAGCATCAGCGTTGCAAGTGTGATCAAGGCCTATGACCCAGCACCTTCATACATTTGTCCAGGTATTAATCACTTGCCCTCCTGAGGATTTACCCCCCTTCCTGACCAGGCCATCTTTTTTTGTAACGGCTCTGCATTACTTGAAATGACAATTGCACGGTCATGCAACCCTGCACCCGAATTACATTTATGTCCTTTTTTTCCCACAAATAGAGCTTTCTTCTAGTGGTATTTTATCGTCTGTGCGGTTTTTATTTTTTGCGCTATAAAAAAAAGACCAACTTTTTTGAGAAAAAAACTGTATTTTTGACTTTTTGCTATTAAACATGTCCAATAAAAAAATAAAAAAATCAAATTTCATAAATTTAGTCCAAAATGTATTCTGCTACATTTCTTTGCTAACAAAAATCCCAATGCATGTAAATTAATTGGTTTACGTGAAAGTTATAGCGTTTACAAATGGCGGTATAGATACTGGAGTTTTTTTTTCTTGTACTAGTAATGGCGGTGATCAGCGATTTATAGCGGACATTGTTACACTGGGGGGAACTGACTTGGTGTCACTGACATCCCCAGTGACACCAATACAGTGATCAGTGCTAAAATAAAGCACTGACACTGTACTAATGGCACTGGGCAGGAAGTGGTTAACAGGAGGGGCGATCAAAGGGTTAACTGTGTGCTGGGTGTGTTTTACTAGGGGGCGGTGTCTGTGTGATTCACTGTAATCACACTGTTGTGGATGCCTGTTCTGTGCACAGCCATCCACAGCAGTGTACCTGAGCTGACAGGGAGGAGACCTGTTAGTAAACAAAACAGTTCTCCCCCCATCGGAGATCGTCAAAATCAGTGGCGCCGGCGAGTAATCAACAGCAGGGACCCGGTGATTGACGTGAATGGCAGCGTGGGTGAGGCACGTGTGTGCCCCCTGCCCAGAACTGCAAAATCATCATATATATATATATATACATGATTTTGCTCACACATGCCGCCCTGTAGCAGTATTTCTGCTATAGGGTAGACAGGAAGCGGTTAAAGTGTATCTAAAATTAAAAACCTTGTTTTTATTTTTTCTGAAAAGAGTGTTGAGGGGTTAAAATACTGTGTCCCTCAAGTTTCAGACCAATACCTTTTTGTCCCAATCCCCTCTTGTCCTAACCATTCACCACTAAAAGCTTTGGCCTGAATTTGACTCTAAGGTGCCTACAGACGTTAAAGGCATTGTCAACTTTCAAATGTCTTTGTTGTTTAACTACTAAATGTATTAGTGTAATTCTATTCCCTGCGTTATTTGTTTGCCTTACCTTTTAATGATAGGCTCACATGTTCTGTCTGCAGTTTGTAGTGTCATGGCTGATCAGTTCCAATATGTCCATTTATTCATTACCTAGCTTATCCCTATTCACTAGTGGAACGTACAACTTTTTGTTCTGGGGCACACAGCATCCAATCCAGGCCTTGCCATTTACTCTGTGTTGCATCATAAATGTGGTAGTGCTAATGTGATGAAAGATAGCATGAAGGGATCTCTGTTTATTGCTCTGTCTGTTTGTGTCTGTGTTAGATTTAATTTCTATTTAGCTCTCACCTGCACCAACACTAAACTGAGAGACCCAGGGATTGTGGGACATGCAGTTTTGTCACGGAAAGTGTCAGTTCTTAGACTACAAACAGAGGTCATACATTAACCTGTGCAGTGCCTGTCACATCCCTCATATATGAACACCAGAAAAATGTCTGAAACCAGGATGTGAAAATTTACAATAGAATAGGAAACACAATGAATGTACATGATCAATGCACATCTTATGCTGGTGAAAAAAATTATTTACTAAAACTGGTGCACACAGATTCTGATTCAGCTGTACATAATAACCAATCAGCTTCCACATTGCCTCAACAGAATATAGCAGTTACTTCCTTACAGACACAAAAACCTCTAGGTAACACATTTTCTAATCCGGATACACAATACAGAACACACAACCTCTTCAAAGCTACCCTTACCCGACACTTCGTACACCCTCATCATAAAAGCTCATTATTACATGGGTCAGTTCCCTTTACTATCTACATTACCTCGTCTAGTATACTCTTCATATCTGCAGATATGTAATATACATCTGTCTTACTGCATTGTTATGCTATGATTGCATTGTCATCTACATGTCTGACCCGTCTGCGATACGGGACGCCGTTTATTGTGTCTATTCTCGGACTGCGATCCATAGTTGTATTTGCTTTGCTATGCCTTATTCTTTAATAAAATATTTTTGGAGAAAAAATAACCAATCAGCTTCAACTTTAGCTTGTTCAATTGAGCTTTTGCAATAAAACCTAGAAGCTGATTGGCTACTATGCACATCTGTACCAGATTCTGTGTGCATGAGTTTTCGTAAATCCCCCCCAAAGTGTGGTTAAGAAGGTTTATAATGCCTTTAAATATCCGTCAGTCTGCACCTACGATTTATGGCTGAATGAACACCCGAGTGAATGATAACCATACAATTCAAGCTATGCACATAGAGTGAGTGAGGAGGGAGTGGTGTTTTAAGGGAAAGCAGTTAGGATCCCAACCAATTAACTATTTTTCCAAGAAAGAAAGGATGTAGCAAGGAAAATCTAGAGATACATGGACATTTTTAGAAATGATCATAAACAGCTGGATTAACACAAATATTTTCTTAATAAATGTCCAAATATAATATTTAACATTGAAGTGTTTTTGTGCTGTATAAATGTCATTTCCTGTTCCCTGAATGGCACAGCTAAAATATTGGTTATAACTGCATTGTAATTTATCTGATAACTAAACTCCCTAGAGCAGGGGTATCAAACTGGCGGCCCTCCAGCTGTTGCCAAACTACAAGTCCCATCATGCTTCTGCCTTTCGGAGTCATGCTTGTAACTGTCAATCTTGCCATGCCTCATGGGACTTGTAGTTTAACAACAGCTGGAGGGCCACCAGTTTGACACCCGTGCCCTAAAGTATCAAATAGTCTCCTCCTCTGCCTTTGCTGAACAGATAATTCATCATGGAGGAATGCTAGGTTGACCTCATAGTCTCTATAAAACCTCCTGTTTGGTTTTCATCCTGAATGGGATTTTTATTATTGCCATAACAGAACAAGGTAGGTGAAATCAACTTTATCGTAATTCTTGCATTGTATACAGTAGACATGTGCAGGCTGAAAATTTTAATTTCGTTTCGGACGCATTCATGCATTGAGGAATTTCATTTCATCACATTTGTTATGTTGAACCGATTCGTTTTCAGAATTTGTTTCGTTATATTCGGCCTGTGTTTTGTATGTTTGTTGGTCCAGGTGGATTCGAAACATTTAGCATTTTTACAGATTGCTATATATTAACCGCTTTCCTGCCCCCCTATAGCAGATATACTGCTACAGGGTGGCAGGGGTGCGCAAAATCACTTATATATACTGTATGTGATTTTGCATTTCAGGCTAGGGGCTATTCGCGGCCTCAGATGTTCTGCTGACCGAGGAGCATTACCAACGGAGGGAGAGAACTGTAAGTAAACAATACAGTTCTCTCCCCTGTCAGCTCCTGCACACTGATATGCATGGCTTTGCATAGCAGAGCCATGCAAAGCAGTGTGCCTACAGTGAAGCACACATACAGCACACAGTAAAACAACACACAGCACACAGTCAACCCTTTGATCGCCCCAGATGTTAACCCATTCCTGCCCAGTGTCATTAGTACAGTGTCAGTGCTTTTTTTTAGCACTGATCGCTGTATTGGTGTCATGGGGGTAGACTGGGGCTGTCAGTGACACCATGTCAATTCCCCCCAGTGTCAGAATGCCCACCGCAGTCCTGCAGTCCTGCTATATGTTGCTGATCACCACCTTTACTAGTATAAATGAAAAATAACAAAATAAAAAAATAAATCCAGTATATATACCGCCATTTGTAAAAGCTATAACTTTAACGTAAACCAATTAATTT